GGGGGCGGCGGCGGGGACCGCGCTGTGCCCCACCCTCGCGGCTCTCCAACAAAGGGGCCGCGGCTGGGAGGACCGGGAGGAGGAGCCCGGCCGCCCGCAGCCCGGCTCACAAAGTTGTGGAGTCGCCCTTCCCTGGAGCAGGGGAGCTGGCCGCCGCCGGCCGCGGGCTTTCTCCCGCCGAGGGCCGAGGAGGGGCTTCCCGAAGCTCCCGAAGGCGGTCGGGAGATCTCGGGAGAAGCGACTCTTCTTTCGGGTCATTCCCGCGTTGGGTCAACTTGCAGCTTGCGCGCGTGTTTTGTTTTTGGCGGAACTACGAGGCAGGAAGATTGCACAAGTCAGGGGCGTTTCCATTTGGGTATCATTTTCCCCCAACCTCTTTCGGATCTTGTTTGGCTCTGCATATTTCATTAAAAAAAAGGAAAACATCGCAGACCAAATTCCTCGTCCAGCTGAAGCTCGCGTACACCCCGCGATTCTTGTGGCCAGTGTGGCGCAGAGGCGCCCCGGGGCTCCGGGACTGGGCAAGCAGGTAAGCGCATGCATTATTGAGGCTGAGTAATGTGACCGCAGCCCCGGAGGGAACGGGGCGGGGGCAGGAGGAGGTGGGACCTTTGTGCGGCTCTTCCGCCCGGGTCCCGGGTCTCGAAGTAGGAGCTGTCGCCTACTTTGGTGTGCACTTTCCCTGCAAGCGCGGGGCAGCTCTTCTGGGCGGGAGCCGGGAAGGTCGGGATCCGAACTTGTGGCTTAGGTCTCAGACTCCTCGGGCTGGTTCTGGGCTGTCGCCGCGCTCCTCCAGCCTCCCTCCGTACGGGGGAACTGGGTCGCCTGTCCGCGCATCCCGCGGAGCAGGGCGCAGGCCGTGATCTCTCCTGGAGCGGACGTGGCCTCCTCAGGAGAGCTGGTCACACACCTCCAGCTCCGGGAAGGCGGGGCCCGGGCGGTGTCCCCGAGGACTGGGTGGGGAGCGCTTCCCTGCCGGCCTCCTGGCAGGAGGCGTGCTCGACCTCTGGGTGGTTGCTGCTCCCGAGGGTGGGGCCCCAGCGTGGCGCGGTCACCAGCTCCCTGCCAGCAGCCTTGGAGAGGCTCAGGGGACAGGGGAACCTCACTGCTGCGCAGTCCCGCACCGTCGCCGGCTCTCCCCGACTCTTGGCATCTCTTGCTGCAACTGACAAGGTAATTCGTACCCCTCTTTGGTCTGGGTCTGAGGCGCTGGTTGCCCAAGGCCACTTACAAAACCAACAAAGAGCTAATTGTAGGCCGAGCAACTTTTAGAAGGCACATTGTTCAGACTTTGCAGATCCCCAGATCCCGACCGTGTGGCTGGCCAGGGTGATTTCAAGGGGAGGGAGAGAGCATGCCTGACCTCTGAGATCCCGGGAACTGCATTCTTTTCTAAAACGTCAAATTGGAGAGCCTGGGGGAATACCTTAACCCCACTCCCTGGGGTGTCCCAAGGAGAGCATCCTTTATTCCCTAGCTTTCATATCTCCTGGGTCATCAGGATCTAGAGGGTGGGATCCCGATGCTGCTGTAGGGAGAGCTCTGTAGTCTGCCAGAGCTCAGGAGTTCGGGGCCGAGTCGCCGGGGCCCCAGGACCGCAGCACACCCTTTCCTTTGGATCTTGCACGGGGTGGGGGTGGGGGACGCAGCGGGAGGTTAGCATACCCTATGAGAGTTCCAGCAATGTTCACTTAGTTCCGAGGACCCGCCAGCGAGCCAAGCGGGCCATTCCGTCAGAAGCCTTTCCCTGCCCCTTTTACCAGCTTTTATGAGACCGACTAGACAGCTCTTTAACTTCTCCTTCGGGTGTTTACCCAAATTTATTACTCCTGTAAACAGCATTAATCACAGTAGTATTAACCTTCCCTGGAGCGCTTCCGATTGTGAATGGCAATTCTTGGCACTCAGCGATTTCCTTTGCAGCAGAGTGGCAAACTTGTTCCTCAGCTTCCCTAGCCACTCTCTCCCGCATTCCTAGATTTTGGTTACTAGTAAATGAATAGTTTTTGCCCAAGGACTTAAACGACTTTCCATCAGAACTGCACATTGTTGAATGAATATTCATTAATAATGGCACTTCTTGAATGTTGCATATTTACTAGTTTTGTCTCTTCAGAGCCATCCTCTGCCTACCCACATACTTAGCATTCTGGTCTGTGTAACAAAGGTTCTGAAGGAAGGAGATGATGCTTAGAGAGTGGGGTGGGTGTCTCAGTGGGCATCCCAAAGATAAACTTTACATTGTCATTTTGAGGGAAGAGACTCAGCAGCTCTGCCAATAGATTGCAACCGTGTAGGGCTCATAGAACACCTCCGGTGCATTCTTTCCTAGTTGCTTGCTTTGCTGTATGTGGAGCCAGGCGCCTCTATTCCACAGGTGTAAAGTGGAGTCACTTTGGGACACATTGTTTCTAATGAAGCTTTAATTTGAATCTCCTGGTCAACCAGTTAGAAGCTGCTGCAGCATTGGGCTTTTAAAATTTTATTTATATAATTTGAGACAGGGTCTCACTATCCAGCCCAAGCCAGCTTGGAACTGAAGTTCCTCCTGCCTCAGCCTGCAGAGTGGCTGGGATTATAGGTGTGCATCTCTACACCTGGCTTGCGATTGAGGACTTAGAAGGAAGTACCATTTAACTGTCTTAGCCTACGTTAATGGTGACAGGTGACAGTTAGTGACTATTATTTGTTTAAATGACCGATTACGCTTTTTCTTCATTTTTTTCCTGATTCATTGATCACTTTTTCTGCCATAGTTTTTGCAGTGCACTAGGGATTTGCATTAACAAGAAGAGAAAATTGGAAAAATTATCCTGAGGAGAGTGGCAAAATCAAATGTAATAATGAACAATTATTATAATATGGTCATACACACATGAAATGAAGTCACAGGTACATAGTTAGCTTTTCTTTAAAACAATGGGGGGGAATGACTCAGCAGTTAAAAAGCTCTTGCAGCTCTTCCAGAAAACCTGAATTCAGTTCCTGCCTCTTCTGCCCCCCACACCTGCAAACACAGCAAACACATATGCACACACACTCTTTTGTTTTACATTTTGTGTGTGTGTGTATACGTATGTATGAGGGAGTACATTCCAGTGGCAGGTGCCCTTACCCACTGAATCATCTCCTAGTCCAATTTTTTTATAGGATAGAAAAAGTCTTTGGGAAGCTTTAATGTGGAGACCCTTGACTAAGACCAGTTGTGGGGGAGAGAATTGGATGCGTCTCTCAAAGGGACAACTTCTTTCTAAGAAAGATTTTTTTTTCTTAAACAAGCCTGAATTTCCATAATAACATGCTTAGACATTCTTCTGAATAAAATTTTTGGTTCTCTAATATAGTAAGATGCACTTAAGAATTTAGTAAGTCTTTTACTGGTTTGTACTTGAAGATAGGAATACAATCACATATAATCCATGAATTCTTTTTTTTTTTTTCTTTTCGGTTAGTCTCACGTAGGTTAGGCTGCCTCAAATTCTGTGTAGCAGAGGATGACCTTGAACTCCTGGTATGTCTGCTACTGCCTTGAGTGCTGGGATTACAGGTGTGTGCCACCACTTCTGGTGAAAATAGCCTTCTTCCTTGGTCACTTTTGGCTTTAATTTGTTTATTTTTGTGGTACTGGGGATCAAATTCAGCCTTGTGTATACTAAGTAAGCACCCTACTACTGAACCACATCCTCAACTCTTTTAGTTTGTTTTTATTTTTATTTTTTAGGCATGTAATCCAAAGTCACTTGGAATTCACTATGTAGCTCCGGCTGACCTCGATCCTGTGGTATGCTGGAATTACAGCTGTGAGTCACCATACAGATCTATAATTTTTAGTTGTAGTAAAGCCATATAAAAATTTTAAAAAGTTTTTTATTGTCCCATAAAATATGGAAGTCTGATGCACTAATCCACATACTGAGAGGAAATGGTCTTAAAGCTTTAGCAATTTACCAATTTTTGTTTGTTTCAACCACTTTAACTCTTGAAACTTTAAGTCATGCTGCTCTTATTAATGGACTATACTCATTTCCTGACTTGATCATAAAGAAAAGTTATTGTTACATAATGTTTATATTTATATAATGAAGTAATACTGTATAGTGCAGTTCCTGAGTATTGAATAATAAAACAAAATACTATTATAAAAATATGAAATTTAAAATAACACAGTATGATTCATTATTAAGTTAAGAGATTGAGGCTGGAGAAATGGCTCAGTAGTTAAGAGTACTTCCTGCTCTTGCAGAGAACCTGGGTTCAGTTCCCAGCACGCACATGGATGGGAGTAGGGGTCTCACAACTGCCTGTAACTCCAGTTCAGGGGATCCAACACCTTCTTCTGGCCCCCAGGCATGCATATGGTATACAAACATTCATGTACACATTCACACATACACATAAAATAAAAATAATAAATAAATATTAAAAAAAATTAAAGGATTGAGTTGTCCATTCCTACCTAGAAGTAAACCCTAGTTCTGACATTTGTTTGTTTGATTTTTGGGTCTCACTTTACAGCCCAGATCAACCTAAAACTCAGTGATCTGCCTTCCCCAGGGATTACAGGCATGAGCCACCTTGCCCAGTTCTGATATTTGTTTTAATATGTGAATTAATATACTTTATCTATAAATTGATGTTTGGATATCTTGACTGTGATATTCTCAACTAAATGATTAATTTATTTAATTGGCATTTGGGTACTCTTAAAGGGATTGTTGTCCAGATAGAGACACACGCTGAGCTTGAATTTGAACTCTGCTTCTCTCTAGGTTGTTAGGGTGATGAGATCCAGGAAGGGCTGGAGCAATACAGAGCTGTAGTTATTGGCATTCTTAATGAAAAGGTGGTTCTGTAGGGCAGGATCTTCAGTTCTTTAGATCCTAAAGGGGTTTCTCGATACTGAAGATCAGGATTGTTTTGTCTGAGTGGTACTCATATGCCGCAGAGTTGGTGTGATGAATCTTTCAGAATAAAGTCTGTCAATGGACAACACAGCTATCTAGAATTGTAGCTCCAGCTGAGACAGACCACCCCTGAGATCCAGATCTGTATTTCAAATTGCCTTTTGTCCTTTCCCTTTTTGTGTCTCAAAAACACCTCATACTCAGCAAATCCAAATTACATTCATTATGTCTTCCTCCCTGCCTGCTATCAACCATGTTCCCCAGTGAATGACCCAACCTCTTCTGGATTGCCCAGTGCCCAGTGAGTCATTCTGCACCTTAGTGTTCTGAGCCTCTAATGCCCTGGTTGTTCCTAAGTGTTATTGACCTTCTTTACTTAATATAGTGCCTATTGGATAGGCACTCATTTTCATTTCTCTCTGTTTAGGCCACAATCCCATATTGCCTATAATATTATAATACAAAGATTAGCATAATAGGTACCCAGATGCCCTTTGTTTTCTTTACTTTATACTATTTACTTCCCTGTCTGTGCATATCTTTGTATATATACACATGCATATCAGTGTACATACATACATACATACATACTTAGACATTGAAGATATGTCACACTTCCTTTCTACGTATTTCGCCATGTCTCCTACAGTGGAAGGCCTGCCTAGCAACACTATTATTTAGTGTTAAAGAAGTTTAACATTGGTGTAATAATATTGCCTTCTATTAGTACAGTCCAAATTCAGTTTTGAAATAAACTCTAAAATGTTTGCTCTTAAAATTCTGAATTCAATCCGGGATTGTATGTGGTTGTTAGGTCTCTTTAGTCTTGTTTAATCCATGAAGTACCCTCCTCTTGCAGATAGTTTTGGCTTTAGTGACATTCACAGTTTTGAAGAAACTAGGCCAGTGCGTGTGTGTGTGTGTGTGTGTCTGTGTGTGTGTGTGTCTGTCTGTCTGTCATTGTCTGTGTCTTTGTCTACATTGGGGCACATGTGGAAGCCAATGTTATATGTTGGGTCTCTTCTACCTTATTTTTTGAGACAGGGTCTCTCATTGAACCTGGAGCTTGCAAATTGGCTAAGAGCCCCAGGACCTCCTGTTTCTAGCTCCTAGTGCTGGAATTACATGCACATGCTGCCATGCCTGGCCTTTTTTACCCACGGATCCCTCTCCTTAGCCCAAAGCCATTTGTTTTGACAGTCCCTCCCCATTTATCTGCCCATGATATGCCTCATGCTTGACATTTTGGCAAAGATACTGAATAGACAGATGATGAATTGTTTTCCATTGTATCACCCAATGCCCGTCCATTCTTGGCTTTTGTAGTTTGATCACTCACTGGTCAAGGCTGAGATTTTGTTTCTCCAGCCTTGTAGCATGAAAACATTCCAAATACAGAGGAGCAGAAAAATTTCATTTCACATCTCCTTCATGGCCTAGGTTCACTAATTAGTGTGCTGCTTGTATCCTACTATGGTCCTTGCTGGTTCCCACAGATTACTCTGGCCTACTACAAGCCACATTGTCAACATGGCTTGTGTCACCTCTGTGCCTTCGTCACCACTGGATCTGCGTTGTCTTCAGACAGAGATCAGAAGCCTGGGTGGGGATGTTTGACCCACTTTCCTTCCTCACATAGTTGCACAGGTGCACTTACCTTTTGGGCCTCTGCTGGCCTCAGCCCTCTGGCTTCTTTTTTCCCACTCTCTTTTTGCTAATTAATTTCTTCTTGAAGGCTGGACTCAAATGTCATTTCTTCAAGGCTTCCTCAGTGGCCTTGGGCAGGTTGATTCATCCTCTGTATGTTTTTATTACTTTATGTTTCTCTTTTGTACCTTTGTTGACTATCAGGATTATAACAAAATAATTCTATAATGAACAGCTCAGTGCCTGTAAGCTTCAAGGTAGAAGAGCCCATGTTTATTGTTGGGTAGTCAAATCCTCATATCCTGGCTCAGTGCCTTACATGGTAGATGCTCAGTAAATTTTTACTGGTTACTGTATATATCTTTCTAGATTAGAATATGTGGGGTTTGGGAGATGGTTCAGTCAATTAAGTGCTTGCTGCCCAACCCCAGCACCCATGTCTAGCAGGTGTGGCAGCTCAGCTTTAATCTTAGCACTTGGGGTGCGGAGACGGGCTCCCCAGGGCAAGCTGGCTACCTAAGTGAGTCCATTAAGTGAGCTCTGGGTTCAGCAAGAGACCCTACTTCAGTATATAAGGTGGATAGTAACTGAGGCAGAGGCAGATACCTGACCTCAACTTCTAGCCTCCACTTGTACATGCATACATGTGCACGTGTGTGCCCCCCACATGAACACATATACATGCACACATATACATCAATATGCCAAAAAAATAAGGAATATAGATATGTGTGCATTCAAGTCAATGTTTTCCTTTTTCTTTTTAGGTATTGATGTCAAACTGGACCATTCTTCAGAGCCAGTAATCTTTAGAAGAGGATTTGGGAAAGCCTTTGGATTACACTGAAACTCAGCCAAGATGGCCAAGTATGGGGACCTTGAAGCCAGGCCAGACGATGGGCAGAATGAATTCAGTGATATCATCAAGTCTAGATCTGGTAGGTAATGGAAGCTTAGGTTAATTCTGGATCTTTCTATGTAGATGATTTTGAAGACACAGATTTCTTGGCTTGTTTTGCATTGTTCTCATGAGGCAAACTTCTCTTGAGAAATTTAAATTCTGACCAGTGACCATTATTTTGTAAACGGTGACATACTGTGTCTGAGTGGCCTAACTTAATCCCTCAACCCAATTTGTATGGTGGGTTGTGGACTGGCATCGCTAGGTGAAATTGCTACTTGTTGCTGAATGCTGCTCAGTTATAAGATGACACTGTAAGTTGCATAAGCACAGCTGGGAATTTCCCCCTTATTTTTGGAAAACAGAAGGGAACTACATGCTTAAACTAGAATATCGTAGCTTCTGGCGAAGGAATCGTCTCATGGTAGGATCCCATTACCTTATGCTCACCTTCCATGCTGGCATGCTACCTTTATTCTCCTTTTTGAAATTTCTTATAAGCTTCTAGAGATATAGTTTCCCCTTTGATAATTAAATCAACCTGACTAAGATGGATGAATAGTTTCCATATGAACATTTGGATTGGAGGTCTCAGGATTCTGCCCTTCCCTAGCCTTATTATATAACCACTGCTCTTCAGTTCTGGCTCTTCAAATGAATCAACTGGGGACATTTTACAAATGCAGATGTATTGGCTCTGATCCAGATCCATTGAGTGAAAATTTCTGTATTTTTAAAAAGCTTCAAACAGGATTCTGAGACTGGTTCCAGGTCATATTTTTGAGGAGGCCAGGCCTTTCTGAGCTTTGCTCACTATACAGAACTCCATCCTGAGTGTGAACATTACACCTTAGTAACTCTCAGAGTTATAAAATTACATTCAGTGTCATTACTAAAGACCCCCCCCCCCAAAATAAAGGGAACTCAAAGGTGATTGTTGCTTTTGGAACCGTCCATATATTATGGTAAGAGTTTATGTCTTATTTGTAACTGCAGAAATATGTGCTGAAAATGAAATCTAAATAGGATAGACATTTCCCTACATGGTGCCTGTGGTGCTTGGTTGGTAAACAGTTTGAACGTTACAGATGTGGCTATGACTGGGCAATGACTGGTATATAGCTTGAAGGATTTTTGGGAGGTGTGGCTTCATGTTTTCTGGTTCATGTACTTGGTTTGTTTTTGGTTTTTTGAGGGGGAGTATTTTTGAGACAAGGTCTCCCTGTAGCTCCAGCTGGCCTGGAACTCACTATGTAGACCAGGCTAGCCTTGAACTCACAGAGCTCCACCTGCCTCTGCCTCCTGAGTGCTGGGATTAAAGGCGTGTTCTACCATGCCTGGCCTTGGTGCATGTACTTTAAAGATCTGGGGATGTTGTAATCTTCTCAACTTTGTTTCAAGAGTATAAACTTTATATTTAGAAAAGTATAAAAAGTGACAGGAAAATGGAAGAGAAATGACAGTTGGTTGACTTATGAGGACTTGTGTTCCTCAGTAATGTTCTGAGTCAACCTCTGTTATATTTAAGACCTTGGATACTGGACTGGTGAGATGGCTCAGTGGGTAAAGTGCTTGCTGCTCAAGGCTGACAACCTGAATTCAAGCTCCAGAACCCATGAGAAGGTTCAGTGTGAGAGCTGGCTCTTTAAAAGCTGCTCTCTGATCTCCATGTACACTGTAGCATATCCACACACATCCATCTCACACACACATAATAATAAGTAGAAATACTATTTAAAAAAGACTGAATATTTATCACTGGTTCTTTGACTATGTCCATTAAAGAGTAATAATGTAAGTTTTTAACTACTAGGCATGTATGTTGAGCACTTATACTTGCAAAATATTCTTTAAATTAAAAATGAGTGTTTATAAAGGCTAAGAACTTTTATATACTGCTAGGGTATTTGTTAAGTAAAACTTATAACCTTTTTTTAGTGCTAAGAATTGAATATGGCATTAAAACAGTACATTCATTTATTTGAGTGTGCTAGTGGTGGGATTGTGTGTACGTCATGGCACTTGTATGGAGGTCAGAGGACAGTTTTGGAGATTCTGTTCTCTCCTTCCACCATGTGGGTTCTGAGGATCAAATTCAGAACTTTTGTTTATAGAGCCATCTCACTAGCCCAACATAATGTGTTTTTAACAAGGGCATCAATTGGTCAAATGATTCTGTTTGTAGAGTTTCTCCTTAGGCAGTAGCTATAAATGTACATTTAAGAAGTCGACCACAGAATTATTTATAATAGAAAAAATTGGAAACATCGAAAAATTCAAATTGGATAGAGTTAGGTCATTATTTCTCAGAGTATTTAGAATTGCTAACCAGTTTCAAAATTGTTCCTATGTTGTTCAAAAACTAAGTCCATGGTCAAGTGACTGTAGAAATAGTTCCAAACTTGCTCTGTTTCTTCTTTTTTTAAAACAATTTATTTATTACTTTTATATTATGTGTATGCGTGTATGGCTTACATTAAGTAAGTGCACCTGTGTTGTGCAATGCCCACGAAGGAGAGAAGAGGGTGTCAGATTCCTTGGAACTGGAGTTACGGACAGTTTTTAGCTGCCTTATGGATACTGGGATTAGAACCCAGGTCCTTTGCAAGAGAAGTACATGCTTTTAACCGCCGAGCCATCTCTCCAGCTGGTTTCTTTACTGACACAGTGCAGGTGAATAGACTTCACAGACTCCCAGTGGAAGTAATTAAATTAAAATATATGAATAAAGTAGATGTGAATTTATAAAAAGTGATAGGAATGTATGTGTATATATATATATATGACTGTATATAAATATATATAAACATGGGAAGATGCTATTCACATATTGTTAAAAGATAATTTGATACATGAAGCCATTAGTGTGAAAAATAGCTCTTAAAAAATTACTGGGTCTGGTGACACACACCTGTCATCCTAGCATGTAGGAGGCTGAGACAGGAGGATTTTGAGTTGGAAGCCAGCCTGGGCTACAGGTGAGACTTAGCCTCAAAACAACAAACGAACAAACAAACACCATTGTGGGCTATACACTAATCTCCTCTTGGCATTTGTGGTCCTTCTTTTTCTTCTTGTCCACATGTGTTTTCCAAAGCTGTTTGATGAACCTGTATTCCTTTTTATATTTTAAAGACTCAACTTGCTTGTAGTGTTTAGTGCCAATGTTATGACTATGCCACTTATTTTTTAGTGGCACCTACTTCAAAACACGCTGAAAATTTAGCTGTCACATAGCTGAGATGTGAATCACACTCTTTTGGCTAGAGTTTGTTGCAAAAGCCAGTAGATAAATTTAGATTTGAACAAGCCTGCTGGTTAGTCTTCTTGCTTTCTAAGGCATTTTCTCAATCTTTATTTAGAGCAGCCACTTACTATACAGTGGAACTATCTTGTGGTACTCACAGTTTACAAATGATTAACGGACTTTTTTTCTTTTAGATTAAGTTGTAAGAATGAGCTACATACAGTAAATATATTTAAAACGTTTGTATTGGGTATGTTTTATGCTAAATTTGTTGTTTTTTTCAGTTTTTAAGAAAGAGTATTTGCTGGGTATACTGTTGTCTGCCTGTAATCCCAGCACTTGAGAAGTGGAAATGGGAGGATCAGGAGTTCAAGGCCAGCCTTAGCTACATAAAAACACACACACACACACACACACACACACACACAGAGAGAGAGAGAGAGAGAGAGAGAGAGAGAGAGAGAGAGAGATCGATCCCTAGATATGGTGACTCATGCCTGTAATCACACCACTTGGGAGCCACCCTGTACAACTTAGTGAGAGCCCATCTTAAAAAAAAACAACAAAAGCTCCCACCCTAGCAAAGGAATATTTTCCTGTTGTCTGAAAATTTCACCCCCATTCTCTCCCCTCTAATTCCCTCTCCGTTTCCCCCACTATTTCCTTCTAGTTAAATGTTTTCTCTGTTTCTCTCTCTGTTTCTCTCTCTGTTAAATGTTTTCTCTGTTTCTCTCTCTGTTTCTCTCTCTGTTTCTCTCTCTGTTTCTCTCTGTTTCTCTGTTTCTCTCTCTCTCTCTCTCTCTCTCTTTCTCTCTCTCTCTGCTCACCAAGTCCACTTAGTGCTGGCAGTATGTGTATGGGTATAGAGCCAGCTGCTAGAGCACGGGCAGCCTTTCAGGGGCTGCATCCTTAAAGAAAACAGATTCTAGGCCGGGCGTGATAGCGCCCGCCTTTAATCCCAGCACTCAGGAGGCAGAGGCAGGTGGATCTCTGTGAGTTCAAGGCCAGCCTGGTCTACATAGTGAGTTCCAGGACAGTTGGGACAAAAAGACAAAAAAAAAAAAGAAAATGGACCCTCCCTCTCTAAGAAGCCTTCACTTGCTGTTGCAGAATTTTTGTTGTAATCTGCTGCTCCAGTTTTCTTCCTTTTGGAAGAGATTGAAGTGTAAAGCATTGGTGGTGAGGATGTAGTGATAAAGTTGGTTTCTACATTAATCACACTTGTAACCCATTCAGAGGGTGGCGGCCAGAAGATCAGACCTTTGGGGTCATCCTTAGCTACATAAAATTTGAGGCTAGCCTGGGCTACATGAGATTCTGACTCAACAAACCAACAAAACCCCTGTTCTAGTTTGCTTTTACTTGCTGTGATAAAAAGACTGACCACAATCAACCTGGGGAGAAAAGGGTTTATTTCATCTCATATCTCCTAGTTCATAGTTCATCACTGAGGGAAGTCAGGGTAGGAACTCAGGCTGGAACCTAGAGGCAGGAGCTGAAGCACAGACCATGGAGGAATGTGGCTTACTAGCTTTCTTCCCTGGCCTGGGCTTAGCCTGCTTTCTTATACAATACGGGATGACCTGCTGGGGTGGCACTGCCCATAGTGGGCTGGGCCATCCTGTATCAACAATCAAGAAAATGTCCCGAAGACATGGTCACAGGCCAATCCAGTGGAGGAAATTCCTCAGTTGACGTTTTCTCTACTCAGGTGTATCAGGTTGACCACAGAAGCTGTTCAGCACAACTTCCCAACTAACCAACAAACAAAAAACAAAAACAGAAAAAGA